CGCCCCTCGGCGGACCCGGGCCTGGGGCCGCCCGCGGGGGGGGCCGCCCGCGGGGGCCGCCCGCCAGCGGCACCGCCGCTCGGCGACTTACGGCGCAGCGGCCGCCCGCGCGGAGGGCGCGGCCCACGCGGCCTCGCCTGAGCATCGCTTCAATCGGTCCCCGCAGTCGAGGGAGGAGCAACGGTATAGACATAAACTGTGGGGCTAGAACCTCCTCCCTGGCGCGCGGAGCGCGCCAGAGGCGGCGCCGGAGGCGCCGCGGGGGGGGGGGGGGCAGAGAGGATCCAAGAAATCCGCGCGGAGCGCGAAAAGTTTATGTTTACGGCGGATTTCTCCTTCGATACATGGCCCAAGTGGCGTGTCCTGGGCGCCACTGGCCGATTTGCCCCCCTGGATGGGGATGTACAGTCGGGACTGCTTGGCGAAGGCACGCGAGAGGACACAAGATGACACAAGGCCCTTCCGAGGGCCACACCTCCACAGGAATGTGGAGGGCATGGGCCGCGAGACACCAGGACACAAGGGTACAACTGCCCTTGAGTTGGCAGGAAGGACCTACTGATCCGCCTTGACTGCGGGCTGCTCCGGGTTCCGAGGGGCCTATCCCAAACTGAGGTGTTGGGATGGTTGGGCTGTGATGCCATGGCCCCTCTGGGGATAGGGACAATGGAGGCTCCCTAGTGGGGTCGGAGTAGATGAGACCGGAGGATCGCGCCGGCCGCATCGGCATTGCATCGGCGATGCACCGGCGATGCGTCTTCGACGTCGGCGATGCATCGGCAACGTCGACGCAAAGCAGATCGGGCTCCACATCCAGCCGCATCGGCGATGCGTCGGCGGTGCATCGGCGATCCTCCGACCCCACAGAGATAGGCCCAGGGAAGGGTTGGACGATGCACATCGCCGGGCGCGAAGGCCGGGGGCGCCGGCCGAGGGCTGCTGCCGCGGGCGCCGCCCTGATCCGCCGCCAGGTGCTGCTCCGCGAGCTGCAGGAGCCGCCGCTGCCACGGCGAGGGGGCAGCGGCCTGGCCGCGGGCCCTCCGCCTCCTCCCTCCGCCTCCCCCTCCTCCTCCTCCTCCTCCTCCTCCGCCTCCTCCGCCTCCCTCCGCCTCCTCCTCCTCCTCCTCCTCCGCCTCCTCCTCCGCCTCCTCCCTCCTCCTCCTCCGCCTCCCTTGGCGCCGCGGCCCCGTGGATCTGTGGCGGCTCTGCGCGGGCGCCCCGCGTGGAGCGTGCCCACAGGGTCGCGCGTCCGCGCCTCGGCAGCAAGACTGCACGGCGCCCGTGGTTCCCCCCCTGGTCGCTCTCCCGAGGTCCGCGCGTCGTGGAAACCAACACGACGGACGCCGTCATCCCGCTCCAGGCCTCTGGGGGCCTCAAGGATTCGCGTGTCCGCGCCTCGGCAGCAAAACTGCACGGCGCTCGGGGTCCCCCCTGGTCGCTCTCCCGAGGTCCGCGCGCCGTGGAAGCCAACACGACGGACGCCGTCATCCGGTTCCAGGCCTCTGGGGGCCTCAAGGATCGATGCGGCTGGGGAGACGCCGCGCAGTGGAAGGGTCCCAGCAAAGGATTCTGTGAGCGCTCTGCAGGATGGTGACGAGGAGGACGGGGCCGACCACAGCAAGATTCAGCCAGGCGGCCTGCGGCAAAAACTAAGGCGCAACTTGATGGATGCCGCCAAATGCCGTGCCGTGTGCCGTATGCGGAATAGGAACACCGCATAAACAATAACTCTCTGACATCTGCGCGGATTTCTTGGATCCGCGCTGGGTGCCGGAATCGCCGCCAGGAAAGGCCCAACGCCGATCCAAGAAATCCGCGCGGAACCTCGAACATGTATTTTATGCAATGTTCGTCTGCGAACATACCATGCCGTCTGCCGTGCCGTTTCCCGTGCCAGCTCGTAGGTCCAGCTCAAGAACCCTGACGGGCGGGTCGGGGAGGCGGGCCCAGAAGACCAGGTCGAGCAGGCGGGTTGCTGAAGCGTGCATCCTGCACGAATCGCAAGGAAGTCCTGAGCGATAGCGCGATTTCCTAATGCATCGTGAGAAAGGCAAAACGGAGAGCGTGATTCCTAAGTGTCAAGGGCGGCGTTTGAATCAATTGCAAGGAAGTCCCATGCGAGAGCGCGATTCCTGCATGAGTTGTGAGGAAGTCTCGCGCGAGAGCGCGACTTCGGAATGAAGAGTGAGGAAATATCCGGCGGGAGACGTTGTTGTTGTTGTTGTAGTTCGGGGAGCCAAGGGGCAAATCTTCGCCGCAAGACTTTCTCTTGTAGAAAACAGGGTGCGAGCCCCGGGAAGAGCGCTTCCTTTCAAAAACACAGGTGCACCAGGTGGGTGGATCAACAACCTTTGTTCCCAGGAAGCGAAAGTTATGCGAGGCGGGGATTTATCCATATCCACCGCCTGTGAACCGACGTCTTGGTGGCCCAGTAGGCGGTGGGGACTTTGGACGAAAAATGAAGAATAATCCAAACGTATCCAAAAATAATAAAAAAAACGCCCCATGACTATATTTGGACTGTTTTTGAACATTCCTCCTGTAGAGGGACAGGCCCGACTTAACCCTAAGCAAGGGTGACATTTGAAGCGCGGCTTGACGGGGGGCGCGGAGTGTCCAAACCCAGGCGCACAAGCCGCTGCTGCCGCTCACCGCTCCCGCGATCGGGGGGCCCCCTTTGGGCCCACACCAAAGGTCCCTCCGGCGAGGCGTCACCCTTGCGTCTGGTCGAGGAGGGGGGGGAGGAGCGCTGGGGGGGGGGGCGGGGGGAGGGGCTTGGACGCCCGAAATTACAGAACGAATGGGCACGATGCCCAACCACAGACGATGTCATCAACCGACAGCGGCCGCTGCTGGGCGGGCGGCCTGTCTACAACGGACCGCGTCCGCAGAGACACCGCCAGCGAGCCCTGCTCCCAAACGAATAGGACATTCCGTCGGCCTTCGTATCTAGACGAGCGCGTTCCACTACTCGCAGATGGCCTGGATCCGCCGCGGGGGATCTACGACACATTCCATCGAAGCAGACACGTGTTTCTTCGAACGTTTGCGAGTAGGCACTATGCGAGCAGTGGAATGCTGCTGGCCTTCGTGACTTCACTCTCTCCTACCCGTGCCGAAACGTCCCGAGAAGCGAGGTCCACCGCCGATCCAGGAAGTCCGCCCCAGCCTCCGACCCGAGGAGGGGGAGGAGAAGAAGGAGAAGGAAAAGGGGAAGAGGTGGAAAAAGATGAGGGAGGAGGAGGAGGAGAAGGAGGAGGAGGAGGAGGAGGAGGAGGAGGAGGAGGGGGAGGAGGAGGAGGAGGGGGAGGGAGGCGGGGAGGAGGGGGTAGGAGGGAGGAGAGGAGGAGGAGGAGGAGGAGGAGGAGGAGGAAGGGAGAGAAGGAGGAGGGAGGAGGAGCAGAGGGAGGAAGGAGGAGGAGGGAGGAAGGAGGAGCAGGGGAGGAGAGGAGGAGGAGAAGGAGGAGGAGGAGGAGGGAGAGAGAGAGGAGGAGGAGGAGGAGCAGCAGCAGCAGCAGCAGCAGCAGCAGCAGCAGCAGCAGGGAGGGGCAGGAGGAGGAGGAGCAGGAGGAAGGAGAAGGAGAGGAGAGAGGAGCAGGAGGAAGGAAGGACGAGGAGAAGGAGAAGGAGGAGGAGGAGGGAGGAGGAGAAGCAGGAGGAGGAGCAGGAGGGAGGAGCAGGAGGCAGGAAAGAGGAGGAGGAGGAGGAGGAGAAGGAGGAGGAGGAGGAGGAGGAGGAGGAAGAGGAGGAGGAGGAGGAGGAGAAGAAGCAGGAGGAGGAGGAAGGAGCAGGAGAGGAGCAGGAAGAGCAGGAGGGAGCAAGGAGGAGGAGGAGGAGGCGGAGGAGGAGGAGGAGGAGGAGGAGAAGGAGGAGGAGGAGAAGCAGGAGGAGGAGCAGGAGGGAGGAGCAGGAGGCAGGAAAGGAGGAGGAGGAGGAGAAGGAGGAGGAGGAGGAGGAGGAGGAAGAGGAGGAGGAGGAGGAGCAGGAGGAAGGAGCAGGAGACTTCCATCCCCGCCCCTCCCATCGCCGCCTCCGCCGCCTGGGCGAGGGAGGACGTGGCCCACCACGGCGGGGGGGGCGCCCGCATGGCGGCTCGCAGGGCCACGCGCCGGTTGGCCTCGCTGTGGACCATGTGCCGGGCAAGGGCCGTGGACAGGGCCAAGGCGGACGTCATGGCCGAGCGGCCGCTGCGTACTTCTGGGGGGGCGTGAGGCTCGAATCTCGTGGGGGCCACGCGAGATCCCCTGCAGGTCAGACTCACGAGAAGCCGGCTGGGGGTTGAGGGATCCTTCAGCCCCCAGCCAGCAAGCGAACCCCAGCGGGGGGGGGTATCAAGACCACAGCATCGAGGGGACCCGTAAGGGCAGGGTTCGCAAGTGGTCCTGTGGCACTCGGTCCCTAGGACCCTGATACCATAGGACCCTGAGACGAAGACCCTGAGGCCCAAGGCCCTAGGACGCCAAGACCGTGAGGCACGAAGACCTTCGGACCCGAAGACCCCGGGACCTGGGGCCCTGAGACACGAAGACCCCCAGACCCAGAGATCAGCATGCCCCAGGCCCCCAAAACGGCGGGGCCAGGTCTGGGATGTGGCGCGCTTGCGCCCGCCGCGGAGGCCGCCCGAGCGCTGGGGCCGGCAGAGCTCGCGCCCGGGCCGTCCGAGAGCGGCGGCAGGCCAGAGCTCGGGCACAGACTCGAGCCTCACGCTCCCCCGGCGTCTGCGGGGGCCACGAGCAGGCGCGGCCCGCCTTCCCGCCCTCCCCGTGCTCTCTCTCCCCCGCCTGCCCTTCCCCATCCCCCTCCCCCATTAAAACGACTAGACGCCAGGGTGGCCCCTCGCCGGAAGGACCTGCGGTGCGGGCCCAGAGGGGCCCCCCGATGGTTGCGGGAGCGCTAGGCGGCAGCAGCGGCTGGCGCGCCTGGGTTTGGCCACCCCGCGCCCCCCGTGAAGCCGCGCACCAAAGGTCACTCTTGCCCAGGGTCGCTCTCGCGCGTCGCCG